TGCAGTAACCCTGTTCAACAGCAGACCGGGGCTCAGAACTTTGCCCCCGGTAAGACACAGACTCAGTTGTCTGTGCTGGGCTATGTGACCGAGACATGCCCAGCCTGAGTCTGTCGAGGAGGCTGTGTGACTAAACGCAGCACAAGGGAAATTCAACAGTTAAAGACAACTGTAGAGTCAAAGGTACCGCACCCAGGCCTATGGTCGGATACATTCACTTGTTGTGTGCAGGWACCCAGACAGCATTCAGGGCGGGAGGAATACAGTTTCTGGCCAATCTGGGCCCTCCTTCACATCGAGATCTGGATGGTGCACGACTTCAGCACCCGGGGTCCAGACCCCGCATCCACGCTATTTAAGAGTTGACTTCCTGGCTGGAGGACATTCAGTCTTGCGTGAATGCTGACTTCACGCGTGGACTTGACGCTGTTGCTATGCTGCGACATTGCGACATTGGCTTGACGCCGGCTATATGCTGGCAGAGGAGGACAGCAAGGCGCTGCTGGCTGGCAAGGTGCTGACTGGCGATGGTCTTCTGGGCATGCTGACGTGGCAGCTGCCACGCGCCGTTGCTGACGTGGCCGCTGCCACCTGTATATGATTGATGACGTGGCTGGGTGCGAGGTTGATGAGGCTGTTCTGATTCTTCGTCACTTCGGAAGGAGATCAAGACTGTGGTTATCGAGGATACGTACSTGGTTGATGACGATACTCTCTATTTGCTGATGTAGACAGATTGACGTGCCACGTGGCACCTTGAGGAAGAACTTCAGACATTGTATTCAGTCTATTGATTGATGAGGTGGCGAGGAGGGGGAGGAACCCGGAGTAGAAGTGGGTTGTTGTCTTCTTCTCTCTCCTTTGTCTATTCTCCCTCTCTCCTCCTTCGTCTGTGTATGATACTCACCTCATTCTATCATCACACACATTACGATTGTTTGTCATTCATCAGCAGATCGATAATCATATGGACTGGTAATGTTGACGAGTATCATCACGTCTGGGCTCATTGCACATGTCCCTTCTGTTCCGCCACACGACGGGTAGAATGGCCTATGCACTTCGTTTGCACACAAATGTGCGGTCTCTCGATGGTCTATGGTTCATCGTCTGGGTCACTTGTTTTTTGGCTCTGGCTTATGTTCATAATAATGTTTCTTCTGGAAAAGTCGGCAGCAGGACGTGCAGAAAATGTGTGATCGACAAGATCTTTCATATTTTTTTTACTGATCACCGGCAGCAGCAGAGGTACGATAAGGGTTTTGGGTGGCACTTGATGTGCAGGAGGAAGGGGCCAAAGGGAAGTGTAACCAATGGACATAGGTTTTCTGTGGCGGGCTCTCTGTGGCGGGTTCTTACCACCTCTCCTAGCAAGGACACTGGGTAAAAAAAAAAAAAAGAAGGTTTTCTGTGGAGGCGTCAGAATTCTGCTGCTCCTCCTGCTGGTGCTGCTGCTGCTCCTTCTGCTGGTGCTGCTGGGGTGCTCAATCATTGTTCGAAAGAATCGAAACTGTTATCCCCCCTGGTTGAGCATCATGAAGTGAAGCCGTTTTTTCATCAGCAGTTCGAGTCTGTTCGACTAACTTTGCATGGCTCCAGTTCCTGAGGACCGCAGTCAGTTTTTCACATGGCGGGCTAGCCTTGTATTACTATTTTATTGCATACATGATTGGGCTTTCCATTCATGGGCTTCAGGGATTGGAATTTATAATGCACATTACAGGGGGGAAAATCACTGACTCGACAAGTGAGTGATAATGGCTGGTGGTTATTTCTATCCTGTCCGTTGTGTTGGGTGTTGTGCTAGTCTGTGAACTTTTTCGTGTCTTGCTAAGGTGAGACTTGTATTTTTATTTCTGTGCAGCCTCTGGGTTGATGAATTAAAGTGAACCAGTGTGCTTCATCGTCATATCTGCTAACTCTGCCGTGGTCACTCTGGCGTGGTCACCCATCAGGGCAACATGACTGATACCATTTGTGTGTGTGTGTTCGCGTATGTTCGTGTGTGTGTGTGTGTGTGTGTGTGTGTGTGTGTGTGTGTGTGTGTGTGTGTGTGTGTGCGCGTGTGTGCGTGTGTGTGTGTGTGTGTGTTTGTGTGTGTGCGTGTGTGTGTGTGCGCGTGTGTGTGCGGGAGCAAGAGAAGTGTGTGTGTGTGTGTGTGTGTGTGTGTGTGTGTGTGTGTGTGTGTGTGTGTGTGTGTGTGTGTGCATGTGTGGGTGAGAGAGGGAGAGATTTGCAGCTCGTTCTGAAACTGGATAGCTATTTGGAAGAGCTCGCGAAGACAAAGGGTGCAATTGCGGAGTTTGTGAATCCAAAGTGAGTACTCGTGACTGTTTCCAATCTTGTTCTTGGTTCCTACTTGTGTCCCAATTGGCGTTTTCCCCACTTTCTTTCTTTTCTTTTCTTTTTCACGAACAAAAAAAGGAGCACGGCATAGCATAATGATGTCTCCATGGCTCTTCCCACCATGGGGAGCACTGGGTAATTTTGTTTTGCCACCAGCAAGTCAGAAAACTTTACAAAGTTATATAACATGGCCCTGTCTCTGTTCCGTCCCCGTCTCTGTTCTGTGCATGCAGTTCCGTCCCTGTCTCTGTTTAGGAAAGTAATAATCACTGAACAAAATGGATCACAGTCAAGTTGAGTGAACTCACTTGAGTAGACAAAAGAATCATGCAAGCTTTTTTCTTTGTTTTTTGAATCAGACAAACTTTCATTCCAGTCTGAAGTATGGTACATATAATGAAACGGGTATATGGAATCCCTGACCCCGCATTTTGACTGCTGCAAAGGCATTCCTGCCTCGTTTGTGTCTTCCTTCTGCTCTATTTTTCATTCCCCTCACTTGATTAAACTTCATTAAAGTCAATTTGTTTTGTAGCAACAATGTCCGAACTGCAACAGGGGTTGCTTTGGATTTCTGATGCTGTGGAGATGGCATGGTAGTTTGGAACCTCAAATTGTGCCAAATCGCCAATCCATTTTTGAATTTTTTTTTTTTCAACTTCGAATTGTGCCAAATCGCCAATCCTTTTTTGAATTTTTTTTTTTTCAATTTCGAATTGTGCCAAATCGCCAATCCTTTTTCGGATTTTTGTTATTTTTCCGACGAGGTTCGCTGTGTCTTGCCGCCCTTGGCTTGTCTTCATTTGCTTAGATGATACTTATTTAAGAGCCAAATCCACATTCGCTCGCTTGCCACTAGTGATGGGATGTCGGTTGCTGCACTTCCCTTTAGCTACTTGGATGTTCGAGTTCACGGCGTTGACTTCGTTATAGTTTCGTGATCAGGAATCTCCATGGATCAAATAGAGTTTCTCCCCCTTGACTTTTCACCTTTTCATTGCGTCCTTCCTTCCTTCCTTCCTTCCTTCCTTCCTTCATGCCAGGGCATCCATCGAATTAATTGTTTTGGATAACGATGGGACCCGTTTATGTTATGGTCCATCGTTCATAGTAGTTCATACTCATGTTATGGTCTACCTAGATAGCCTACATGAGTATGAACTACTATGAAGTCTATCTGAGCTTTTCTTCATGACTTGGATTAGATTCTCTGCTTGTTCTGTTTCCCTTAGGGAAAAAAGTAGCAGTAAATGCAACTCTTCTTGGCCAAAAAGCGAGCTTTCAAAACACCAAAAGAAACGAACTCTGCAGATTCGGCAGCTTGCAGACGACGGAATCGTCGGCATTGTTGTTTGTTCAAGATCTTCAGGTTTCGTGTTGATTGCAACTGCATCCACCGTTCACGGCTAATGCCTACCGGTATTGCTCGTGTGTGTGTGTGTGTGTGTGTGTGTGTGTGTGTGTGTGTGTGTGTGTGTGTGTGTCGAGTCTGGAAGTCTTGGGATGTGGTGGTTTTTCACTTGCTGGAAAGCGTTGTGAAGTCCAGAGGCTGACTTGTTTTCCGTTTGCTGGGAACAGATACAAGGATGCCACCAAGCAGTCGTTCAAGTCACCCACACGATTGGAGTGCATGATGCAAGATTACCCAAAGACGCTTGATCCAACAGCAAAAGTTGGATTCACCGTAAGTTTGCGGTTCAATCTCTGCGTTTCTATTACTCATTGAAACCCTCCTCCCCCCCCCCCTCGTTAACGATTTCGACCATTTCTCAATTCAACGGATGTCGTAGGCAAAACAATCGATTTCCCATGTGCAATCTTCTCTGTATCGTTCCAATTTTAACGGATGTCGTAGGCAAAACACTCGAGTAGGATCCTGCACCGACTGCCATGGCGGGGGGTCACTGCTGACCTCGTCGGGACAGGGCCTCAATTCCTGGGACAAAACTTCTGGTCCTGAATAGAAAGTACTAGAAACCAATGCTGTCTGCATTGTTCTGGAAGGGGTCTGAAGGGCTGGCAGAGCACTCGGGAGGAATATTTGGTTGCCCGGTTTTTTTTTTTTTTTTTTTTTTTTT